TGCGGCCTTGCGGCTGGCCTGGGCGGGGACCCCCGGCCCCCTGCTGAGATCCCCTGGATCCCTTCTCCCCCGGCTCAGCCATGATTTTACTGGGCAGCTTGTTGCACCTGTACAGCAGGCAATGCGGCCCCTTCGCAGCCCTCCGGCTGGGCCGGGCTCCCCGCTCGGGAGCCAGGTCCTGCAGTGCCCGCTGCAGGCATCTGCGCGTCTTGGTGGACATGGATGGGGTGCTGGCGGACTTTGAAGGAGGATTCTTAAAGAAGTTCAGGGCCAGGTACCCAGAGAAGCCGTACATTGCCCTGGAGGATCGCAGGGGTTTCTGGGTGTCGGAGCAGTATGGCCAGCTGAGATCCGAGCTGAGTGTGAGTCAATTAATCCCCCCCCCCATAATATTCTTCTTTCATTATTTGCTGACACACAGACTGTAGACTCTAGTGTGCAGGGGTTGCTGTCTTTATTTGCCTGTGCATCATTTAACACAGGCATGTCCAAAGTCCGGCCCGTGGGCCAATTGCGGCCCGTGTTCCGGTTTAATACGGCCCCACAGGTAATTTGGCAATATCTATCTTTTATGGCCCCCAACGAATCCATATGTTTCTTTCATTATTTGCTGACACACAGACTGTAGACTCTAGTGTGCAGGGGTTGCTGTCTTTATTTGCCTGTGCATCATTTAACACAGGCATGTCCAAAGTCCGGCCCGTGGGCCAATTGCGGCCCGTGTTCCGGTTTAATACGGCCCCACAGGTAATTTGGCAATATCTATCTTTTATGGCCCCCAACGAATCCATATGTATTGAGATGAATACATTGTAAAATCTCAGTTAATGTCAGTTGGTCTAAATCAGTTATAAATATATCTGGACACAACATGTATACTTGGTGTTATGTTCCTGTTCATATTTTTTGAACTTAAAAGTTGACAGACAACCTTTATTACCAATAATATGTAATGTACTTTACAATGTTCCTGACATATATTTCAGCTTCCTGGATTTTTTTTTCATCTGGCCTTCAGATATGAAAGGCAGAGTGATTTAACACCTGTTTAGATTTGTCATCCATGTGACGAAATGAAAAGTATGCCGTTTGCAATAAACTTTGCATAAAATAGTTAATTTGCATTTAATTTTAATGGTTCAAAGAATGTCAGGCAAAATGGTCGGCCCTCACGCATGTTCACTTCATCAAATCTGGCCCTCTTTGAAAAAAGTTTGGACACCCCTGATTTAACATAACGGGTCCCTGATAGCTCATAGGGGCTCCTACATGATACCATAATAATAATAATTAGTAACTTGTGTTTTGGGTTTTCAATGTTGATTTCCCCTCCCCCTTCCTTCTGCAATGAAGTGGCTTTAAATGGAAATTCTTGCTGCAGGCTGTCGTTAGGTTTTGATCACTTCAAACAATTTCTTTAAACATTCCAAAGTGGTGTAGGCAAGATTTTCCTCTCTAGTTCTAATTTCCAAATTGATTGCATTCTGCATGGCTGGATGCAGGGGAAGCTAAATGCTGTAACATTGAATGAATAGCTGCCTTCATCTCTAGGTGCATTGTTTAGGTCTTCCGTAACAACACACCAAACATAATGCAGCAGAGGCGTGGACGGCACACCAAAGCAACTGACCTCTCAAAGCAGCTGATATCCGTTCCATTCAGTGCCTATATAAACCAACAACAATAAAACATTCTGAAAAATGATATTGGCTTGTTTTACCAGTTAAAACCTAAAGCCGGGACTCCCTGTTTATAATTTTTTTAGCCAGCATCAGTGCATTGGGTTCTGCAGAAACTAGGTCTCTGCCCCACCGAGTTTAAAATCTCCCAGGGGAGTTGACAGTCTAATCCACAAATTGCATTTGCATGGGGGGGGGGGAGGAGGAGGGAGGGAACAAAGAAAAGGCTTTCTATCACTAATAGCAGAAGTGGGAGCAGTGTGGAGAACAACTGTAGACCCCAAATTATCCCTATTCAGGTGAAACATTCATTAACTTAAAAGCGGACAGAGCAGAGTGGCTGCTATGTAATTGGAAGGCCGTCTGGAATTGGTGGGTGAATACAGGGAAGCCGCTGTGTTATGACAAGGCTGGTGCTAACTGTATGAAACAGATCTCCAAAAAGATCTGTTGGACTTGGGAAAGGTGCAGAAGAGAGCAACACAAATGATGAGCAACATATACAGCTTTTGTATGAGAGATTGGCGGGGAGTTTAGCCAAGAGACAACTCAGGACTGATATGAGAGGTGTCTAGAAAATCATGAATGTTATGGAGAAAGTGACACGGGAATTATTTACCCCGCCTCCCCTTCACATAACACAAGAGCTAAGTGTCACCTGATGAAATTACAAAGCAGCAGATTTAAAATGAACACAGGAAAGTGCTTCATCCCACAATGCACTGTTGTCAGCCTGTGGAACTTATTTATTGCCATGGGATGTTGTGAAGGCCCAAAACAGAATGCGGTTGAAAAAAGTATTAAATAAATTCATGGAGGATCATCCAATGGCTAATGGACAAGATGATCAAGGATACAACCCCACCTTTCAATGGCTATTGGGCAAGATGATCAAGGATACAACCCCACCTTCCAAGTGTCCAGCTCTGTTAATTTCTTCTGAAGCATCAGGCACAGCCAGAGTGAGGATACTGGACTAGATCGGGCTTTGGTCTGATGTAGTGTTGCTGTTTTTATCATATCATGATTTCTCCTGAGATCTTAGCAGTGGTTGGATACTGCTGTGTGTTCTCTAGAACCTGGGATGTAGGAGAGCTTGTAGTGTTATCTCATTGTATCCATCACATTAACACTCATCACCCCCAAAGTCTTGGGCTGAAAGCCTGGATGTAATTGGTAATGCTTAAATGGGGCCATGATTTCCCCCTTGGTTCCAGACCAACCTAGGCTAGTGAGTGAGCCACACGAGTAGCTTTCCGGTGGGTGGCAAGATTGTCATAACCAAGACGGTCACCTGGAATAAGGTAGTTTTGCTAACTCTGCATACCTAGAATTTGCAGGGTGTGTCAATCAAACCGTAGCAGTGTTGTGACTGGCTGCAGAGGGTGCACACGGTTCTCTCGGCCAATGCTGTGTGCAATCAGCATGTACCTCCCTTTGCGTGTCCTTACATTGCGAGTCACTTTCATAATACCGGTAGGAAAAAAACTGGACAGAAACCAGCAGAATCTGGCAACCCTGCCCGTGGGCAAAGGTAACCAAAATGTCTTGCGGGCCACACATAGAACCCCGCTAGGTGACACATAGCCCAGGGCCACCGGTTGCCACCACTGTCCCAGAGGGTATCCAGTTAATACTGGAGAAAAGAAGTCAGGCTGTTTCTATATAGTATTTGGGAGACAGCATTTGGGATGTTGTGCTCCACTTGGGACTATATCAACAGAGTGCTATTGGCAAATTAGAGTGCGCTCAGAGAAGAGCAGCCAAAGTGCTCAGACTGCTGAAGGGAGAGTAAAGGAGCTAAATGCACATAGCCTGATAGCTAAATGCACAGAGGCTGGAAGAATGTTTTAATTCCTGGAGGGCTGGATTCTTCTATACAGTTCTTGGGGATACATAAGATCAAACAAGAAAAGGGAAATGGGTGAACATCAGGAAAATCTTAGCAGTGAGCTCTATTCAGGAACCAGGAAAAAAATCTCCCCAGGGTCATGGTAGAATCTCCCCCCTTGGATTTTTAAACCTAGACTGCTCAGAGCATTGAGCACAGGAGCAATCCAGATCTAGCATGAGATGAGCTAACAGGGATTTTAGGCTCAAATCTGCTCCCGTTGCAGGTGGTGGCAAACCCCCTGCTGACTTAGGGTGCATCTACACAGCAGGGCTTAACTTGAAATAAGCTACGCAGATTGGGCGACGTCCATTGCATAGCTTATTTAGAAATTGGGAGCGTCTACACAGCACGTATTTCGAAATAGAGCCCTCTTCCTCTGACTTCCCGTACTCCTCGTGCAATGAGGGTTATAGGAGTCGGAGTAAGAAGTCCTCCAGCTTGACAGTATTTAAATATTATTTCGAAATAACTGCTGGCTGTGTAGATGTGGACTAAGTTACGTTACTTTGAAATAATATTGCGGTCTAGACGTACGCTTAGGGAGCATCCCCAATACAGCAAAGCACGTAAGCACGTGCAGAATGCTAAGCGCATGTGTAAATGCTTTGCCGAATGGGGGTCGTTTTTTTTCAGATGCCAGTGGTAGAATGCTGTCCCCCCACGGATAGACTGCATTGCAATTTGAGTCGTGCTGTACATTATTTAACCTTAATAACCTGTTACTTTAACCTGTAACCTGCTCTTTTCATGTGGAGTTCAGTGTAACTCCATTGCAGCCCTAGGAGTTACCTCCACTTTCAGTTTTTTTAACCTGCGCAAAGGGGTGTAAGAAGAATTGTTTCCAAAGCACTGGTGCTATTTGAGTCTTCTGGTGCCTATCAGCCCCCCTGGGGCAGTAGTGTGATGGGATTTCTGGTTTGCTCCCTCCTACCCTTTTAAGTGGGTGTATTCTGCTTTCCCATATTCTACGTGACTATCTAACAGGTGGATGAACTGTGCTTTTGTGCTCTCCAGCACCGAGCAAGAAATGCTTAGGGCCAGATAATGGCCCAGCTGCGCAAGGGATTATAGGAAACATAAGGCTCCTCTGTACTCCTGTCCACCAGAGACCTAGATCTAGGGTTTCTAGGTGCCCGGTTTTTGCCCAGACTGTCCGTTATTTGGGTCCCTCGTCCGGTAAAAAAACCCAGAAAATTTCCTGTTTCCCTCAGGCAGAAGCCCGGCACAATTTTCCCCTGCTGTGTCTGGCGGGGTTGGGGGTTTTTGCTCAATAAATTTGGTCTCTCCCCCCACCCCCCTTTTTTTTGCTCAGCAACTTTGGTCTCCTCCCCCCCCCCTTTTCTTTTTTTGCTCCACAGAATTTTATCCCGGTGTTTTTTTGGGAGTGGGGAGGGGACGGTGTTGAGTATGTTTTGTTCAACCATCTGGCAACCCTACTTAGATCACGGGTAGCAGTCCTGGAAGCTAGATCATTACATCCCCATGCAAAGGTGGGAGCAAACAGGGTGGTGATAGGCCAAACTCTTGGTTCTGCCACCACCCAGTGCACAGGCTAGTGTAGCTAGCTACAGGCCTTACGCAGGGTACTTCTCCCTGAGGGCAAAGGGGAATCTGGCAGGCAAAACCTGACTTTCAGATTTACACCCCGTCTTCTGATCTGCACCAGGGGAAGTAGACCAGCCTGCTGCCCCGTGCTTGGGGTTCATAACAAAACCGCAATCAAGCCCTTCAGCACAATTCAGCCTTCTCTTACTCCTTTCCTGCTAAGGCAAATTGCTTATAAGTGAGGCCTCCAGGAGGTCCCATTTCACCTCTCCAATGAAGGATCCACCAAACAATTCTGTGATTATAGATTCATGGTCATTGGTGAGACTGAAACTTGGGGTGTGGCTGGCCAGTGTGGCCCCTTTCCCAGGGCCCAGAGATCATGGCAAGTAGAGTGTGAGACTAGCTTACACAGAGGACCACATAGCCTCTGGACAACCCCCAAATACTCCAGTGCACAAAAGTGGCTTAAAGTTACCATTGATCCTCTGTTCCAAGATCCTTTTGCGTCATCGCAAGACCTTCAGGGCACAGCTCCCTTCCGAATCTAGCAGGTTTCTTTCCGGATTGGTCTAGTGGGGTTGCAACACAGTGACACAACTGCTTCCTGTGGCTGAGCCTGCTGCCGTTGCAACACTGCCAGCCTCTCTCAACTCAAGGATCTCAGCGGGGACCTCCATGCACAAGCCATCGCCGGGTTACTTTTAAGCAGGGCAAATGGAATTTTGCATTCATATAGGCCTGGCTTGCGTGGTTCTAGCGCCTTGCCTGGATCAGCAGCTCTGGAACAGATGTGATTCTGTGATTATTATTTTTTTCCCCCAGTCAGTGTGGTACAAATCCCCTCCTGGGAATAGTTTACCAAACCCCAGGGAGCTGGCGGCGGGAACATCGGAAAGAAGTGACCCCACGGCAAAGACAAGCTGCATGTGCAGAAACACGCTCCCCCCACCCATCGGTGACTCGTGGTAGCCCCTGCCAAAATTATAATAGCTAAATGGCATGTCCTCACATGCCCCCTCCTAGCCCCCCCGGGGGGGGGCCTGCAGGCACCATTCTCCTCTGCCTCCACCTATTTGCTTTTGAACAGGAGACCACAAAAGATGGCTTTCCTGAACAATCCACCCGTCATTAGTCATTCCAGGCAGGACTTACAGGTACACAGCTCTCTAGATCCACCTACAGACAGCTCTCCGTCTCCCTTGCCCCAGGCTTCTGCTCTGCACTGTCTAGATACCTCAGGCCTTCCTTTGGACCCGGTATTTTCCCCAGGCCATGTTATAACAAAGTGCTTCAGCTGTAGCCCTAAGGAACTCTGGCTCAGGCTGAATTTGCTCACGCACTCACTTGACTGGTGTTTTAGAGGGATCCTTGTGGTTAGAGGAGCAGCATTTTTTCCACAGCACCTTGTCCCCGTTGGGGCATGTTGGTTACTGCCTTCAATGGAAACAAAAGGTCCCTTTAGCACCCCTTGCTGAAAAACTCTGTTTTACAGCAGAGAGGGCAGCTAGTCTGTCTCGGATGGATCCCGGTTGTGAGATGCGGATCCAGGGTTTGGGAGAATTCCAGTTTTCATTCAGGACCCTCTCTGTTAGCACTACGGTAGCTCCTCGGAGCCTGAGTCATGGAGCAGGACTTCATTGGGCTAGGTGCTGTACAAAAACAGAACCAAAAGGTCTCTCTTTGAGTTTACAGTGTTAAGAGCTTATAGCCTAAATATGAACCCACTGATGGGCACAGGCAGATAGACGGGGGGAGTACACCAAGACCATATTGGTCAGCATAATTGGCAGAGATCTTGGCATGCCTACAATCTGACCTAGCCAGCCTCACATCTACCATCTTCTTTCCTGGTGAAGGGTTTTCATTGGAAAAAAATGCAGAGGATGACCCAGGACAGGGAGAAAGTAGAGGGCTGTACCGTAAGAGCAGGGATGGGGAACCTTTTTTGGATCGAGGGCCACTGACCCACAGAAAAATCAGTCGGGGACTGCATACAAGTGAGAAACAAAAAACCCCACCCCTCACCGGCATGGGTTCCCCTAAGGGCAAGCTGGGGATCCAGGCAAGCTGGGGGCTGAATACAGGCAAGCTAGGGGCTACATCCGGCCCCCGGGCCTTAGGTTCCCCACCCCTGCTGGACAGTAACTGGCTTGTTTGCCCTTGCAGGAGAAAGCAATCAGCATATGGGAGTCAGAGAACTTCTTCCTTGAGCTGGATCCGATCCCAGGGGCTGTGGAAGCCGTGAAGCAAATGGCTGAATTGGAGAAGTAAGTACATGTTCCCGATGGTGCAAGGGTCTGGGTGCAGCAGGGAGTTTGTGCTCTAGTTTTTTGCAGCTTGAGAGCTGGGGGTTCAAATCCTGACGGGTGAAAATTAACGTGATCCTAGTGGCAAAGCCAGCATGTAATATCACAAGCAGTCGTTAAGCCTGATTTACAGCCCCCTCTGCTCTTCCGGGTCTGGAATTCCTTTGAGGTGAAGATTGCCAAGCTTTGGCCAAGTTCTTGAGAGAGAACTTTTTGTGTGCAACAAATACGCATGCATGCACACGCACATGCTCTAAAACAGCGACGGGCCAGCTAGGCCAGTGTGTGGGCTGCACGAGGGGCCCTCCTTCATCTCCACGGGCTGCAAGCTTGTCCTAGCCGAGACGCTCTCCCGGGATAGGGGAGCTGTGCTCGCTGCGCTGGCGTCCCTAGCATGTGCGGGGAGTGAGGTGTCGATTGAACCGCAGCAGCGCTGTGACGGCTGCGGAGGGAGCGCCCGGCTCTCTCAGTCTGTGTTGTGCGCCCTCCGCACGCACCTCGCTTCACGTGCCCTGGCTTTACGTGCGTGGCACTTGAGTAATTCCGGTAGGGAAAAAACGACACGGAACAGCAGACTCTGGCAACCCTGCGCGTGGGCAACGGTTAACGTCTCGTGAGCCACACATAGAACCCCGCTGGGCAGTTTGCCGCAGGGCGCCCACCGCTGCTTTAACAAACAGACTGGTGAAAGCGCTGGGCGAGACGGTCTGCCTGGGTTTGCTGTGGGTACAGACATGGTGCAGAGGGCGGTTTCCAGTTCTAATATCTAAGCCTCCCAGGGACCTGTCTGAGCGCAGGTTTTGCCTGCTCCTGGAGTAGGAGCTGTAGTTTCCACAGAGGAATTCTAGGGTGCTCTTGGATCTGGACATGGGATTCAATTGACGTGTTTCCTCATTCTCGCACTCTCTCTCTTCCCGGCAGCACTGACGTCTTCATCTGCACAAGCCCGATCAAGAAGTACCGGTACTGCTGTTATGAGAAGGTAACCAGCGAGCGAGCTCTGTGAAATGGAGTGGGCATGTGCTAGGGGGTGGGTAGGTTAGCTCTGGGTAACAGGCAGACCGGGCCCCGAAGCACAAGTAGCCAGCGTGTTTCTCCAGCCCCATCCCCAGTCACTGGAGAGCTCTTGGATCACACTGCAAGGTCAGCGCCTGTGTCTTGTGTTTCCCAGATGATCCCAAAGCACTCTAACAGCTGTACGTACTGGAACCGCTTCATTCGCCTCCAGGGTGCAGCCACCTCTGAGATGGAACGTGGCAGCTGACAGCACAGTGATGTTACATAAATTTGGGACAGGAAGAGAAGTATATACTCTCCAATTCAAACGGCGGGGGGGAATTTAGATGGATAGAAAGCAGTAACCCAAGGACAGGTTGGCAAGGTTAATACTCAACTGTGTAAAAAGTTCTTTGGTTTCTTCACTAGTCTCTGTGTGAACAGGGATAGCCTTGTGGCAAATGCCAAGCCCTGGAGAACTAGGACTCTTGGGTTCTAGTCCTGGCTCTGCCCTTGATTTGCTGTGCTTCATTAAGGTAGTCAGCTGGCCTCAGTGTGCCCATCTGCAAAATGGGGTTGGATTCTTGCCTGCTTCACAGTGGGTATTGGTTTCTTTAACTAATTACCGTCTATACAGCGTGCTGAACTCGGGATGTAAGTGACTAGTCGATTATCCCAAAAGCTTATCAGATAGTCAACTAGTTCCTCAACTAGTCGCTTCCCCTGCCTCTAGCAGAGGCAGCAAGGGGAGCGAGCAAGAGCCAGTGCTGGGGGGGAGCCAGTTTAAAAGCCACTTCCCCCCAGCACCATCTCGGCAGAGGGCAGGGGAGTAGCTGGGATCGACCTCAAGCTGAGAATTCCCAGCTTGTGCCCAGTCCCAGATGCTGCAACTCTGCTTTTAAAATGCATTAAGAGCCTGCCGGCTCTTCATCTATTTAAAAGGCAGAGCTGCAGCAGGGTTAACTGCTGGGACCAGGAGCTAACTCCGCTGCAGCTCCCCTGCTTATGACTCATCGACTAGTCGATGGAAAATCCATTTAGGGCCTGGGGGCGGGGGAGTGCGTGAAGCTTCCTCCCGCCCTGCCAGGAGCACGCAGCGCTTTGAAGCGCCACGCGCTGCTCGCAGGGCGGGAGGAGACGTCACATGCTCCCCCGCCCCCAAGTCCTGATTGGCCTAGGGGCAGGAGGAGCGTGCAAAGTTTCCTCCCTCCTCCCCCCTGCCCTGAGAGGGGCGCACAGCGCTTCAAAGTGCCGTACACTCGTGCAGGGCGGGAGCAGGGCGAGGGAAGCTTTGCACAGCTCCCCCGCCCCCAGGCCAATTATGATCTAGGGGTGGAGAAGCCCAGAAGCATTCTGGCCCCGCCCCTTCCGGATTAGGCCCCGCCCTTTCCAGCCCAGGGCCACTTCAAACAATTTTGAAGTGGCCCTCGGCCAGAAATTATTGCCCACCCCTGGACTAGTCGATTAGTCGATTAAACTAAATTTAACATCCCTATGCTGAACTCCTTGGGCGGAAGGTACTCTGGCAGGCAGATGCTGCAATTGGAAGTGCTGGGGACCTTGGTTTTTACATTTCATCACAATCCCAGAAACGCCCTGTTATTAAAGCATGAGACACTTGAGACATTTGCCAGTGGAGAGCGAGCTGAACAACCAGGAGAGCCACACCAGGGACCATGTTGGAAGCAAGTCGGAAGGACATCGGTGTCCTTTCTGGGCCTTTCATACTGTTACCCCTTTTGGCCCCAGCGGTTAACCAGTGTTAGGAACCCTGCGGGTTGTTTCTAGGAGGAGGAGGAGATGAGGGAGTCAGGTGTCTTGGATGCAATACTGTTTGTCTACAAGAATGTACAAAGTCCTGTTTCCTGCGACACAGTAGGAATCAAAGAGCAAGAGGCAGATTCTTTGCTCTCAGCTCCAACCCCCTTTCTAGCCAGCAACTTAGCTCAAAAGCTCCCTCTTTGCTTTTTCACAGGGCTATGCAGCCAGTGTCTTCGTGGCTGGGTCTGCGGCCTTCTTTCTCTCTCTTCCACGCTGGCACGCACCTCCGTGGTCCACCAAGTAGTCCCCAGCGAAAAACCCTCCACTTGCCTAGTTCAACTCCCCAAGAGGCCCCACAATTAGTGTGGCAAGTCCCTATTGTTTCTTACATGCATGCCAAACACAGGGTGGCTTCTCCACTCTGCAGTTTCACTGCGGTTTGTCCTAAAACTAATGGACTTGGCAGGATGTCCCCCTGCCCCCGTGCACCCAGAGCCTCCTGTCATTCCTTGCTGTTGTCTTTCGGGAGCAAACCAGTATCGATTGCCCAGCGCCCTGCAGTTCAGCTGAGCTGGGGACACGCTGCTGGCCAAGCCAGCCTGCCCCACCCCTCACACTGACTGCGCCACCCCCTTGCTTTCCAGTACGCCTGGGTGGAGAAGCATTTGGGCCAAGAATTTCTGGAGCATATTGTCCTAACGCGAGATAAAACTGTGATCTCTGGCGATCTGCTGATAGACGATAGACCCGATATAACAGGTAAGAGGGTTTAGACGCCGTATGACCGGGCGATACTCCTGGGGCAGGCAGACTTGTCTTGTTCCCCGGCCTGTGCATTTTGTTTGTTTATTTATTTATGGATCTTGGCGGATGCCGGATGCGCGCCCGCTGCGCTGCCGGCTCCGTTGCCTGTCATGTTTTTTCAGGCCGTTATTATTGAGCAAGTTCCCCCAAAACTCCCGGCATTGCTGATGCCTGCCAGAGATTGGCTCGACATTTTCTCAGAGCCCGGAATTCTGGCTCTGGAGTTCTGGGTCAGCCCGAGGCGGAGGGAGGGTCTAGGAGGGAAATCCCAGTTCAGAGCTGACCTCCAAGTGTCGACAGGCAATGAGCGAGATAGAGGGCCGAGACACAGGAGATCTGGGTTCAGTGATTGGCTCAGCTACAGACTCGCTGTGGGACCTTGGGCAGTCACTTAGGGGTCGTGCGCATGGGGCATGAGTCAGCCCCAGTGAGGCGTCAATTATTGTGCGCATGGGAGTGTTGCACACTAACTAACTGACTCATCTGAACCCCGCAGGTGTGCACTAACAGCGCCACAGCGCACATTTTTTCCATCTGTGTGTAGGATACATTTTGTTCTGCGCACCAAGGCGTGTGTGGATGTGCACCACCAGTAGGAACACACGCTGTTGGCTCCTGCTGGCTGTGGGTGCAATGCTAATCATCTGGGCGGCATTTGAATCGCTCCTGGGCGGCTGCTCAAGCCCCGGGTTTAGGAAACACTGGTCCCCTCCTGTTTCAAACAGGGCGGTGTTATGCACACGAGGGAATTGTTAGTGCTCACCAGCAGGGTCCCCCCAGGCCAGGTAGTGTGAGACGCACTAGCGTGCCCTAGAATTGACACCCCATGGTGCAGACCAATTTACTGTGTAGACAAGTCCTTAATCTCCCCCGTGACTGCTCCCCTCTCCGTGAATTGGGGATCGTGCTTCCCTACCTCCCCGAGGCTTGTGAGGGTGAAGTCGCTTAGCCACTGCGAGTTGTGCAGATGCTGCAGCAGTGAGGGGCAGGGCTAGATGGGTGGGTGTTCGGACCCAGGCTCGGGATGTGGGACATCAGCCCACAGACGCAGTGCCTGGCCCAGAGCCGTCAGCAGGGTCCCGATGGGGTTGGGAGACTCCCTCCTTGAGCTGCTTTGCTCTCTCTGTCTTTCAGGAGCCGAGCCGAGCCCCAGCTGGGAGCACGTCCTCTTCACTGCCTGTCACAATAAGCACCTGCAGCTGCAGCCGCCCAGAAGGAGGCTCCACTCGTGGGTCGAGGACTGGAGGGCCATCCTGGACAGCAAACGGCCGCCGCGCAGCCGGGCCATTTAATGTGACGGGCTCCTCAGCTGCACGGAGCCTCGGCGTGCTCTGTGGTGCCCAGCTCCCAGCTGGAAACCACGGACAGAAAGCCGTGCGCGGCAGGGGGAGGAGAGAGACCCCTGGCAGGGAGCGATTGCAGCAGCTCCGACCCCAGAGAACAGGGCCAAAGGGGGATCGTGTTCGTTAAGACGCCTGTGACCGGGCCACCATGAAGCAAGGGGCTGCAGGAAGGATTCTGGGCCCATCCCATGACAGGACGCCCTGTCTGGCATGTGTCCCTTTGCGCCCAGCTCTGTTTATCTCAGTGGCTTCTGAGTGTTGGTGATCGTACCCACTGGGGACACCAATTGTGATGTCACTGACAGACTCAGCTCGTTACCTGCCATCCCCTGCACCTGCTTAGAGATGCAGATTAACTTTTAAATACTCCCCGTCCCCCAGTCTCCATTGTGTTGGGTCACTGGATCAGCAGCCAGCTCTGTGCTGACATAGGCCCAAGAAGACTATCAAAATCCTTCCTCCTCCATCCATCCAGACACAGGGGGCCGGTCGTCCTAACCCTCCTAATCCTCATTTTTTTGGCTCACCTGCTGTTACCACTCCATGGGAAGCATCTTTGTGCAGCAGCGTTTGATCGGCTAATGATGGAGAAGGCGACTTTTCTTCCCTGCAGTGAATGTGCCTCCCGGAACAGCCTTGCAGGAGCTCGTGTGGGAGCATTGTTAAACCAGATTCTTGCGGGCATGATCCCCACCCCCCCACCAGCCCAGAGTTCACGTCTGGCACAAATAGATTCCAAGGGAAAGGCTGCCTCACAGGGTCACCTGCGCAGAATCCCAGCCTGTCCCAAGGGGGAAGGAGGATTCTGCAAACATGCGATGCAAAAGATGGACCGTGGCAGGGGTCAGAGAGCAGCGAAGGCCTCAGAGGGGAAGGACCAGCATCCAAAATGGCAGCCTGTGGGGCCCAAGCCAGCTGGATCCATGCCGGGGCTGAGTACCCATGTGAGCAACCAGCAAGAAGAATGGCCCAGCGTTGATGTGCCTGGGATGCTGTTCCCCCGCTTTGGCTCTGGCAGTCGTGTCAGGGCGAGGGGCATGTGAACAGGGCCAGTGTTAGGATTTGGGGGGGTGACCCCTGAAACTTTAGTCTAAACTCAACCTCCTCTTACCCATGTAGTCTCCTCCTCAAGGGCGTACTATGGTTCTGCCGTGGCTCTCCTCCTAGAACATGAACAGAGCCACACAATGGTGCCTGAAATTCGGAGTGTTTAACGATCCTGCAGACTGGGCTTGTGAACATCCGGGTCCCGTTACTGCTTCGAGGTCAGGGGCAACCCCACTTTGAGCATCGGGCGTCTGTGTCAGCGCTGCTACGCTCAGAGGGTCCGACTAGTTTTGGATGTAACCTTGCAGTCAGTGTGTGTGTGTGTGTGTGAAAAGCATTCACACACACTGTCCTGTGTGTGTGTGTGTGTGTCATGAACATTCACAACCACTGCCCTGTGTGTGTGTGTGTGTGTCATGAACATTCACAACCACTGCCCTGTGTGTGTGTGTGTGTGTGAGATGAGCATTCATAACCACGGCCCTGTGTGTGTGTGAGAGAGATGAACATTCACAACCACTGCCCTGTGTGTGTGTGAGATGAGCATTCATAATCACGGCCGTGTGTGTGTGTGTGTGTGTGTGATGAGCATTCATAACCACGGCCCTGTGTGTGTGAGAGAGAGATGAGTATTCACAACCACTGCCCTGTGCGTGCATCTGTGAGAGAAACAGAGAGATGAGCATTCACAAACTACTGCCGTGTGTGTGTGTGTGTGTGTGTGTGTGTGTGTGTGTGTGTGTGTGTGTGTGTGTGTGTGAGAGAGAGAGAGAGAGAGAGATGCGCATTCACAACCACTGCCCAGGGCTTCCTCATTCCTCACACATGAGGCAGCAGCTCTAAGCCAACATTTACTTCCCCATTTAGATCAGAGGTGCTGGACCCAGGGGTGCAGCTGTCCTCCCTCCCCCGGCTTGAAGTGTTTCCATCATTCACAGGGTTTCAGCAGGGCTCAGTGACGCTCAGCACCCCTGCTAGATGCATTGTTCCAGCACTCGGCAATAGGTAAGAGATGGGGGGTCCCTAATTAGCTTGAAGTTGTTCACAAACTCTCACGTCCCCTCCCCTCACAGTGATTTTTGGAGGCTCTTCTCCCCCACTCAAGAGCAATTCCTGGTGTGGCTGGGGTCTCCATCACAGCGGTCAACTCCTGCTTGCAGCTCGTGGCTGGAGGAGGTCAGTGTCATGTGGACAGACCTGCCTCGGGGATCCTGGTTCCACTCAAGCACGAACAAGAGCTCTGCCTCCCGTTAACCCTTTCCCCAGAAGCAGGCATTAGCATTGGGTGCACTAATGGGGCTCAGAAGAGAGAGGCGGATAAGATAGGCATGGTCTAGCCCAGGGGTGGGCAAAAGAGCCTCTGCGGGCCAGATCCGGCCTGCCAAGCTGGTTGATCCACCCTGCGGAGGCCCCGCCCCCAGGCCAATTAGGGGCTGGAGGAAGCACACGAAGTTTCTTCTGCCCTGCCAGGAGCACGGGGCGCTTTGAAGTGTCACATGCTCCTGGCAGGGCGGGAGGAGGTTTTGATTGCTCCTCCCCCTCCAGGCCCTGATTGGCCTGGGGTGTGTGAGCACGAGAAGTCTCTTCCCACCGCCAGGGGCATGGGTGCTTAGTGGGAAGGGGGGTTTGAGGCCCCGCCCCTTCTGTTTGAGGCCCCGCCCCTTCTGTTTGAGGCCCCGCCCCTTCCAGTGCAGCCCAGGCACAGGACGTGGTGCCAGGAACTCTGGGGTTTTGTTCTGGCTGTTCCACTGATTCCCTCTCTAGTTACAGGCAAATCACTTTGCCTCCACTTGTATAGCAGAGATGTTCATACCTCGTGGGGCGGGGAGAGGCTGGAACAACCATCAGCCTTTAAATCTTTGAGGTGTGTAGGCATTGTTCCCTCTCATCTTTTCCACCCATGTGCTGATTTTTTCAGTCCAGATGTGGAATACATTTTACGTGCACGGAGGCCTGGGCAGATGTGCACCACCAGGAGAAACACAAACCACGCGGTGGGGGCTCTGCTAACCAGCAGGGGCAGCCTTTGACTTTCCCCTGAGCGGCTGCACACACGTACAGCTTACAGGGAACACCGTGTAGACTAGTTCCACCACTTCCCGTCCCCAAAACCCACATGGGGGGGAAGGGGAGGGGACAGGAGCTAAGCTGAAAGACATTGCAGTAGCCACCATTCATCGTGGGCGCCTGAGTGTGTTCTTTGGCACTGAAGTACTGACCAGCCGCAGCATTCGGCCGGCCTAGTGACCATAGGCATTGAGCAAGCCAGAGCCGTGGGCCTCACCACTGGAGTTCCACAGCAGAATGGACAGAATCTGCCATTGTGGTTGGAAGATCAAAAAGCTCAAGCTGTGTGAGTCCGTCCCTCTCCTCCCAGCCTCCGACACCAGAGAGCAGAGGGTCCTGCCGACCGGTGCTACAGCCCTGCTGCTCTTCAGAGAGGGGCTTCGTTGGGTGGTGCAGAAGCCCTTTCTCTGTGTGCCCAGAGCGTAGATTAGCACTCCTGAGACCCACGGGCACTGCCTCCTGCTAGCAGAGTCCAGCCCGCCCGCCGGCCCCCACAATCCTCTCCGCACTGCAAAGAAGAATTTGCTCTCCTACCCCAGCAACAGGCTTTGGGGTTTCCCTGCACTGAAGGCTCCCGGGCAGGAGGGAAGCCACATGTTTCTAAACTCTTGGCCCGTTGCCTACAGCAATAGCTCTTCCCTGCCATCGGTCTTCACACAGCTGGAGTCCCCTGCTCTCTCCTGAGCAAAGCTGTGAAAAGCAGGCGAAGCCCGACGCCCCGAGGTACGTCAATAAGCTGTGAATGTTGTGCCGATGGCGTTAGTGCTTCGCAAGATTTCCAGGACCTGGACGTTGTGCTGAACAAAGATGGGGCTGTAGGATTTTGCCCTTTCTCCGCTTTCACCACTGGGACCGAACCCCAAACGGCTCGCCGTGAGGATTTTGAGCATGCGTCTCTTGGGGTTTGGGCCCCTGACTGCAGTGGGAGGGAGCTGCAGGGCTTGGGCCAGGTTGGATGTGCTGCATCCTGAAAGGGCTGTCTGAACGTGTCAACCACTGTGCCCCTGCTTGGGGTGATCAGACGGGTATTGTAGTGGCCCGGGGCACAGGGAGAGGGAGCTGAAAATAGGCTGGTTTGACGCTGCTGAACTTCTTGGGACTCAAGGCTTGGAACCCTGAAGGGCTACAGGAGACGGGGGCAGCCAGCGAAGCGCAGCGGAGGAGCAAAGCTGGTGGGACCATGGATGACACTGCCCCACTCTAGTTACCCACCTGCCAAGGGCATTACATTGTTTCCAACCCTCTGTGTGTTTTGTTGATTGGTCCACTTCTCCCTCTCCTACCCCTCTGCTCCTCTGGGTAAGGCTGTTTTCAGAGCCAGCCTGCGGTTACAGCTGCTGTACGGCATTGTGACCCTAGCAGGGGCTGGATTGGATGTTGCGCTAGGCTGTGCATGTCTCAGAGGGGCAGCCATGTTAGTCTGTATCTGCAAAACTGAGGAGTCCTGTGGCGCCTTAGAGACTAACCCATTTATCTGGGCATCCTCTTTTGTGGGCAAAGACCCACTTCGTCAGATGCCTGGAGTGGAAATCTGAGGCAAGTTTAAATATCGTCGCACATGAAAAGAAGGGAGTTGCCTTCTCGAGTGTAGGCCAGTGGTAAAGAGGTCGATTCAGTCTGTGTAAATGTGGCTCACTCCCAACAGGTGTGACTACCTAGAGAGAGAAAATTGCTTTTGCAGGGCACCAGCCATTCCCGGTCCCTATTCAGCTAGACTCCTCATTGGTTAGGCTGTGCATGCCGTTTGGCCTTTTCATTGGTTCTTTTTTCCACATTTGAGGGTGGTAATATGAAGCATGACATCAGCAAAGCTCATTCAGGTTGGACCTGCTCTGCAGCGTTGGCACTTGGAAGAGGAGGATGCGTTTCCAGGGCTAACAGCCCTGTCCTCTTTCTCACACACCTACGCACACATATCCATCTACCCCTGGCTATAAGCTGAATTGTTTGGACTGTATTCTCATGTGGGTAAATCAGCACAGACCCAGTGATCTTAAGGAGGCAAAGCCAATTTATACCAGCTGAGGAGCGGGTCTTTAAAATGATTAAATTACTTTGCTGCGATGTGGCGAAACTTTTTTCAAGGTTTATATAACAGATTCACTCAGGATCATTGCCCTCCGTAGTTGGTTTTGTTGTCACTGCAGTTTATATGAAATAGGGGTTTAATATTCCTGGTGCCACAGTAAATGTGAGAGAGGGGAGATTTTACCTCTAGGACTCTGGAGAGGGGCCATGGGGCACAGTAGCATGCTACTGATTATTCCTGCTTTCTTTTGGAAACTACATCACAGTCCAACTGATGGAATCCCCATGAACAGAAATAGGGCTGGTAGGAAGCTATGATTTCTGGCCAGTGTCTTGCAAATATTATTGTCAGCAAACCAGTAAAACACAGCAGTATGTCAAGGAAGATCGTTCCAGACCGCCGATGAGCGAAAAGCACTAGAAACCATGTCTTGTTATGGAAGAGAGGCACATATAATATGACATCGAGGTAGGCAATGCACTCTCCTGCTAACGTTATGGAGTTAATTGTCCCCTGGGTTGTATTCCTAGTTATCTGGCTGTCTAGGGTTTCATACCTTATCTGTTACTGGGATAGCAGAACGTCTCTGACACAGACTCACCGGATGACCTTGAGCAGATCACTTGTTTTGTGCCGCATTTTCCTCATCGGTAAAATTTAGATCATCCCACCTATTTCCAAGTGGTGTTGTGAGGAGGAGCTGGACAGCATCATGTGTTTCAAGAGCCTTAGTGAGAGCATGCTGTGTAAGTTATCATTAATGAAGTGCTTCCCCTTGGGTAGGCACAGGAGTCCAGCTGGGGCAGAATGGCAATTTTAGGGCACAGTCCAAGGGTATTGTGGAAATTTTGATCTTTACAGAAAATGCTTCTCTGAGCATCAAAGGTCAGGACCAGATGATCTCCCCTCACCCAAATCCGGAGGCCTTTTGGTTGTTCCATCTAGTCCCCAGAATTGGGTGGGAAGGTGTAGAACGTATTGTGTGTATCCTACATGGCATCTGCTGGATCCAGCTGCCATCCCTGAAGACAGAGAGTGGGCGAAACGTTCTCTCCTAGCCTGCTGAAATGAGGAGACGTGGCAACTGGGGGCCCTCTGAGCCAATCAGGCACATCCCAAGGAGTGCTAAGGCCCGAAGACCGAATCTGGAAGGTTTTCGCTGCCTGACAGATGCAGCATGAACCTGCTCCCACGCCGGTGGAGGAGACCCCTGGAAAGACGTGCCCCACAGCCTCGCTGCTCAGCCAGGCCCCAGGGAGTCTGTCTCACGTGATGAGAAACGGGATTTGCTTGTAAAACTGAAGGGTGGTGCTTCTGCTCATGCATGAGCTGGTGGTTGTTCCTCCAGGCTGACAGGGCATGGAGCGTGAACCCTTGTGTTGATCTGACTGGCCTGGAGGAAGAGCAGGAGGAGGGGGGGAGCCCTCTTTCGGGGTTTCCTGGTCAATGGACCCACCGGGGCAGTTAACAAAGTTCCCCTCTGAAACGGGCGGGTCTACATGCGTGTCCACAACACAGAAGCTGCTAGCACCTTGACACTGGACCGCTCTCCGGGAATGACCTCCCTCCACCAGCCGGCTCGGTAGCTAAGACAGCTGGCAGCGTGGAGGAAGGATACATTAGAGCTGAGGCATGAGATCAGCTCCCCGCCTTCCCTGCTCTGATTGCAGCACTAAACTCACTTTAAAGAGACAATTCGATTGGAGAGAGACATTTTTGCCCGTCAGGCTCAGAGCCCCTAATTAAATAGAACCAATCACAAGAGCAAAAGGAGGTGAATCAGTTTGCTGGAGAGCAGAGAGGGGAGGTAGCCAAGGGCTGAACTTGCCCATTAACCGGGTTTAGCTCTGAACTCTGTGTCTGGGCATTACCAGCACTCGCTATAACCAGCTAGCTCCAGTGACGGGCTCCGTGGCCAGATTCTGTTCCCCCGTACCCCAAGGTAAGGAGTAGCCGCTGTGGTCAGCAATGCTTCAGGGGTGTAAAACGAGTGAGGGGTCAGCATCAGGCTCCATGGTCCTGATTAGAGATGTGAACAGTTAACTGGTTCAGTTCCCCGGGACCTGCCAGGCTGCTCCAGCTCTGCCATGCCGCTGCACAGGGCTGCTAGCCAGGATTCCCCTATTTCTGATTCTTAGCTTCCATACTCTGATGTGGGTCACGGGAGTACATGGAGTGGCACTTCAGGAGTTGAGATCAGAATCGGGCCCCATATGTCTCAGGTCACAGCCAGCTAACCTAGCTGTGAGACTTCACTGTCAGGCCCCTGGGCGTCTGTGGGTGCCTTGTTCTGGTTCTGCAGGATCGCCCAAAGAGATGGGTTGGTTTCCTGTCTTGGGGCTGTAGAAATGAGAGAGAAGGGGTGGGAATGCAGTTGTATGGAAGGCGCTTCCATTGGGATGCATGTGCCTATGGCTGCGTGGCAGACAGCTGTACCCAATAAACAGCTGCTAGACAAACCTGGATCTGTTTTGTGTATCCACTGCCCAGCACTACGAGCTCTAAGCCACAGGATTCAAAGGTGCCTCTAGGGTGCCTAAGTCCTACCCTTCCCAAGGAGCAGGAAAGACTCAACCCCGTCCCTTCTGTGGGCCAAATCCTTTTTAGTGCATGGGCGAGAGGGGGGGAGAGTCCTGGCGCCCCTCTTGTCAGACATGAAACTGAACATCTTGGGGCAACATGGCCCATGGCTTCGGGAGATGCAGTATCCACGGTCCTTTGTGCTTGCTTTTGCTGGAATCCCGTCTGCTCAGAGCTCTGTGCTATCCGATCGGCCCCAACTTCTGCCAGCCAAGCATGAGCAATACAACCCCCAGCCCCGCCTCTTCCACCTGAGGCCCCTCCCCCTGCTGGAGCCAATCCCCTCCATTGCAGGGGTGGATCTCCAGCTCCCCCCACTTTCCCCCCTGCAAACCACAATCCACTGCAGGGGCAGGTCTGCAGGCCTATGAGCCTCCCTGGCCCTGGAGCATGGAGAAGGCAGGCAGTGTGCTATCCCAGCCTTCCCGGCCCCAGAGCATGGCTGGACCCTGAGGGCAGCCCGGGAGGCCTCCCGAAACAAGGAGCAGAGCGTGGGTGAGGCCACGCCTGGCGGTTTGGAAAAGGAATGCCTTCCCCTGCCTCTTATACCCGTCGCCAATGCAGCCAAGGTCAAAGTGCCCTTCCTAGCCCGGAGCCCGCTGCTGCTTAGGTGACTTGCAACTCTTTTTAAACATCAAGACTAGATAGTTCCCCAAAGAGATGCTCTGGGTCCAATTGGAATTAATTCAGGGAAGATCTGTGGCCGGTGCTATGCCTCTAGGGTGCCCAAGTCCAACCCTTCCCAAGGAGCAGAGAAGGCTCAACCCCGTCTCTTCTGTGGGCCAAATCCTCAGTAGTGCATGGGAGGGAGGCGGGGAGAGTCATGGAGCAAGACTCCAGCAGGTTGGCTAGACAACTATCAGGGATGATCTAGATGGTGTTGGGTCCTGCCATGAGGGCAGGGGACTGGACTTGATGAGCTCTCGAGGTCCCTTCCAGTCCTAGTGCTCTAGGATTCTATGCAGAAGGATGGGCTTGGATCATAACCGTCCCTTCTGGCTTTGAAAAACTCCTTTTCCCTCCCCGGCACGGTCACCCTTATAGCTATGAAATCCCCACCTTCCTCCCACCTTTAAAGACCAGTTCCATGGGCAGGGTGTGTTCTCCGGCCTCTTCCTCGTGACTCATGCCCCCAGCGTGCCGACTCCTGGGCTGCCCTTCTCTAGCTTCTCACAAGTGCTGCAACAGGGCAGCCAGGGCCGGGTTGGCTGGAGGGCCGAGCACTGACAAAGGCCACCTGAGGGCAAAGGAAGCTGCAGGGCCTCAGCCCTGACCCTCCCCCCACCAAAGCTGGATTCCCCCTCCCGCACTCCAAAGCTCCCATCCTCAGCCCCACCCGGAGCCTGCACTCTAGTCAAATTATGTTGGGTTGCGGCATCGACAATTTTCTTCAACTCGGTCACGAGAAATGAAGTTTGAAAACTGCTGCTTTAAGAGGTGGTCTCTTCTATCCAGCCAGGCAGCCAAAAAAACCCCATCTCAATCCCTGCAGCACCCTTTTCTCTGACCTCAGCCTGCCGCTTTGACCTGCTCACCCCTCTCTGCAGCCCTCCACTACTTCCCCCGTCTGTCTACCTCAAACATGCCCTTTCCCTCCCTCTCTTTCTCCCTCCCATCTCTCATTCACAGCCGAGGTGTGGAATCTGCTCCCGCCATGTTGCCAGCCTTGAGGGGCTGTATTTTCAAACGGGCACCTTCATGTTTTCCCCCTGCTGCCCTTCTTGGCGGGGAGGAGCTCGCTGTGAACCTCTGCAAAATGTACTTCATTATCTACCCTCGTTTTGGGTGCTGCCTCCACCAGGACCAAGCAGCTCAGGGGCTGAAATCCACATCCCAGGAGCAGCCAATTTAATTTTGGTCAAGGTTCCTATTTCTTGATCGAGGTCCAAGCTCCAGAGAAAATAAGGAACAAACTCCAACAATAACGCTAATAAGTAAATTAAAGGATGTCAGTGTCCACTCAAATGGCACGGTCCAGATTTGGCCCATGGTTGCCTCTTGACCCCCCCCGCCACATCATGCTGAACAGTATTGTCTCAGTGTTTCCTTGTATGCTCCCCCATCGGTCTGTGTCTATGTGTCGCCTCATGTGTGGGACTGAAATTGGAAGCTCTTTAGGAGCAGGGACCATCTTTTGTATTTTCTGTTTGCGCAGCACTTGCTGGGTGGGGACCTGTTGCCCGGGGGTGGCACCGTACAGCTATGGTAATACAAATATTACCAGGATCCAGGAATTCGCTTTGTGGGTAGGCAGTGAGGGGGGGAAAGCTTTACACATGGCCCCTGTAGTACACAAGTACCTGTGCTCGCCGCAGTGATCTTGGCTGCTCCCAGCTACTTTGCTCCACTGATGCTCCTGCTCTGTTTTAAAGTGGCTTCCAGATCTCAGCTCATCTGTCCAGCCTGTGGCAGGGCCAGCTGATTCTCCGCTTCCCAGGGTGCCTGTGTGTTCCATACCGGTCTCCCGGCCAAGCCCATCTTGCGAGCTCTAAGGTGTCCAGCACAATCCCATTCTGAGCCCTATTGAGCTAGCTGACTCACTCCAATCTGGACCTCTAACGCAGTCCAGCACAATCCCACTCTGAGCCCTATTGAGCTAGCTGACTCACTCCAATCTGGACCTCTCTAATCCGGGAGGACCACAGATGTTCCTGGACCAGAGAGCTCCGGTGGCTGGGAGTTGGATGGCAGATGCGCCAGTGGCTGGGAGCCATGCTGAGGCTGGGAGCCCAGCGTGGCTGGCAGCAGGCGGCAGGCAGGCAACCAGAAGCCCTGCACCAGCTGTGCAGCCAGGCCAGCAGCATGGGAGCCCAGCAGCTGAGGGAGAGCCCAAAGACCAGCAGCAAAGTGGCCTCCATTGACCTTCCCTGGTCCAGCAAACTTCCTGATTCGGGACTGGTCAGGTCCCGAGGGTGCCGCACCAGGGAGGTCCAACCTGTAGTCATTTTTCTTCTTTTAACGAAGTAACCATCAAACACTGGCCTGCACCTTGCCACCAGGTGTGTCGTTACTTATACTGCACAGGTGTAAAGTCTGATCAGCATTTTACAGCTGTTTAGCCTGGGGGCAGGTGACTACACTGGGGCAAGCCTGTGAAAAGCTGCATTTTTGCACCCTGCAGGGGAGGGCCGAAGAGAGACCTTTTGCCGGCAGGTGGTGCTACAATACCAAACTAGACATTTAACACAGCCCCATACTAGTGCTGAAACAAAAGACAGGACTATGCAGCACTTTAAAGACTAACAGGATGGTTTATTAGGGGATGAGCTTTCGTGGGCCAGCCCCACTTCCTGAGATCAAATTGTAATACGGCTACATCTTGATCACCCTACTAGCGCTGTGAGCAAGACTACATTTATAGGGCACTTGCGACTTGGGGAGTGAGCTTGTCTCCCTGGACTGTGCTGCACGGCATTTGAAAAGCGGCTGTTTGTCCGCAACCTGCAGCCCTCTGGGTCAAGCGGGGAATGTCAAGAGAAGATGGGGGTCAAGAAGATCAGGTGAACTGAGCAGCACCCCCAGATGGCTGGGAAGTCAGGTTTACAGCTGTTTGATTAGGTGGGAGGATCCAGTCCTCTTGGAAGGAAGCGACGGCATGCCGGATAACAAGATGCCCTTAGCAGGGGCAGTTCTTTTTCTCTCACCCCCACCCTCATCTCCCCATGCCAGATCCTCCCCCTCTGCAATGACAGCAGCAAAGACAACACTGTGTGGAGGGTGTTCAGTGTGGAGGCTTCAATGTTTCATTGAGAGTTGCTACCATGAGATGAAGGCAGGGACAGGATGCACCATCCCTGACCCCGCTGAGATATATTGACACTCCAATGTAGCTCACTGATGTTTAGAGAGAAATCAACTCCCATGCAGGGTCGCAGGAACAGAGGCAAATCTCCTGCCCTTCTGTAGGCCCTGGTAACAGAAGAGCTGCAAGCCCTGTATAAAGCGAGCTACACTTCACAGTACCT